TCATCATCATCATCATCATCATCATCATCACCTTCCCTGCTCTTCTGCTCTTCTTCACTGCTGCTGTCATTTTCATGCTGACTATCACCGCCCTGATCTAAGACGGGCGTGTTGATGCTTTCAATGTAGATGTCTGGAAGGTTGTTTGGCAAGTTGCTGGTCCTCACCAGCACATAAGAGTGTTCACCCTCAAAGTTATGCTTCATTTTATCAAATGTTTTATATTCAGGGTCCTTCTTGATCGTACACTCATCGAAGCCTGTGGGGAACAAGAAGAGTAGTTAAATAAATAGGAACAAAAGCATAGTTTAGGTACATTGCAGGCATGTAGACTACCTGTAGACTGGCAGTAATAATTGCCCTTTTCATTTTGAAGGCAGACAGCATTTCCATCACACTCATCTTCATCATCACAGTCAATCTTTCCTATTCCGTCATCCTTCTCACATTCACATTTCTGACTGCAGTGATCTGTGTACCACTGTTCATTGAACTGAAAAGACACAGACAGTCAACATACCACATGACCACATGCTCATTTTCAAAATTGTCCATATTGTCAATTTGTCTTACTTGGTGTTTGGTGCCATTCTTGTCCACACAGCCACATTGTTCCAGAGGCACACAGATCTTCATTTTCATGACAAAGCCATCATTGCACACACATCCAGGAACACAAACCTCATTGTCACTACAATGTGGTGGGCCATTCAAGAATAAACAGGTTGGACTACATGCAGGGACACAAGTGGTATAGTGACTATACCGTGGGCAAGATGGTGCTGGGGAAGGAAAGATGTATAGAGTTGGAGAACAGATATATCCTCAGTTATAAACAGGCAAACAAAATAAACAAACAAACAAAATAAAAACAAACAAACAAACAAAATAAAAAAACGTTTTTGTTATATATTGAAAATGTGTTTGTTAATCCCAAAAAGTTGATTCTGTTCATCTGGATGTATCATTTTCATTGGGAGCAACACTGGATGATTGAGCATGCATCAAGACATGTGCTTGTTATTGTCTTAAGCTTAGAACTGACATACATGCACAAACATAACATGACAGCTACTGTATACATTTTAGGAAACCCAATTCAATGTTTCAATTTGTTTTTTAACTGTAGACACGCAAAAAGAACTTACTTGGTACCGTCAGGGTTGTTTGTTGCGGTCTTGGTGTTGTTGTAGATTGCGGTTTATTAGTTGTGGGCTGGGGTCCAACTGTGGTTGATGGTTGTGGCCCAGCTGTTGTTTCCGGCTTTTGTTGAGTTGTTGTTGATGGTTGTGGCCCAGCTGTTGTTTCCGGCTTT